TGAATTTAGAAAGGAATTAGATAATTAAAAGTAAGATTGAGAAACTAAGAGAAAATGTTAAAATAGTAATAAGATATGGAATAGAACACGAAGATGAATATGACATTGAATTTGTGTCTGAATGGATAAGTGATAACTCGGGACCATGCTATTCTCAAAAAAAGAAATTTTACTTGTATTATGTTTTGTGAAAACCCAAATAAATTTTTTGTTAAAAAAAGAACTTGTTTGAGTTCTAAGACCTAACTAACTAATGATTCTAAGAATAAGATTTTAGACATTTCTAAATAGATTCAACTTTTTACTTTCCCTGCAAAGAAAGGCTCTATGTTCACTCCAGAGCAGGTAAACCACAGAGGTAAATTGTACAAATACATATTAATGCAGTATTCTAGTAAGAAAATAAAATAATAACCCTCCTTTTTTTGAATTTCACTCCTGAGGATTATGTTGACGTTCCATGTTGTTTGTATGACAACAATATGGAACAATGCTTTCTATGTCTTTCCCACATTACAGCCCTTGACTCTGCTGTAGTCTCCCATCATAAATTAACCAGGCTTGGCCTTGTTTAATGTTTTAGACAGTTGGCAACTAGATACTACATTTTGTTCCAGTCTGCTTAAATTGTTTACCCAGAGCTCTAATCATTTATTAAAAAATCAAAGGAATGGTCATAGGTCTACAGACAGGCAGGGCCTCAGATGAAGTAGCCTCCAAAACCAGAGGCAAAAAAATGACACATGATATATAATTATTTGAACATTTACTAATGTTTATGGGGAGATGAACATTTAAACATACTGAGTTTATTTTAAATTGAAATTCATTACAGCAATATTGGAGAAGACAGTGTGAAGGAATTTAGTTCTGGCCTTGGGAAAGAGATGGGAAAATACAAATTGAGAGAGTGACTCAGAATAGTGTCTCCCACTCCTTGACCATGTTTGCCCTAAAAAAATATACAGCAAGGGCAGGGGTGGGATTCAATTTTTTTAACAACCAGTTCTGTGGGTGTGGCTTAGTTGGTAGGTGTGCCTTGGTGGTCATGTTATTGGCTGGGCGTGGCCAA